CGCGACGACGACGACGACGAGAGAGAGAGAGAGAGAGAGAGAGAGAGAGAGAGAGGCGCCTGACAAATTTGGTATTCCCTGTTCGTACGAAAGATCAACCCCTCGACAAGAGCGTCTTTATTAGAAACGAAGGGAGACCCTCCTCTATTTATCAACGTTGCCCCGTCCATTATTCGCTCTCTTTTCTCCGTGGCTGCATTCCTATCCACCAACCTATCCGCCATTCGCCGTTCTCTCCCTCCGCCCTCTTCGGATCGACATCGGTAGCGCGCTGGAATTCGAATTTTCCTCCGCGACAACTGCAATCTCGCAGAGTTATCGCCTCCGCGGATCGAATCAGAGTTTCCATCTAAAATTCGCCAAATTCGTCTCGAACCGTCTCTTCTTCTCTTCTACGCGCGAGAACGGGGAGGAGAAAGTAATCGACGAACAAGGATAATCCCGCGAAATCGAGACGATTCGAAAGATCGGTTCCATCGGTTCAAAATTCGGAATCCATGGTTATACATCGCTGACTTTCTCCTGATATCGAACGGCCAACGATTAGACGAGGGAACGAATGGGAATGATCGATGGTCGGCGAGGTGCGCGTATTAAGAACGTTCGAGGAAGAAAAAAAAAAAGAAAAAAAAAGGTAAGAAAAAATAAAGAGGAAAGAATGAACGAAAGATCCGTAATCCGGGCAATATAGCATTGGTCGGGATAATCTGAGATAGCAACGAGAGATTAGCGTGCCATGCCGCAAAGGCTATCTCATTCTCGCAGGATTATCAGAAATAAATCATATTTTCCTATAAAGCGAGCATACCACGCGGCCGAGATAAGATGACCGCACAGTTTAAGCGTTTACGAACCAACATCGATACCGGCCATGTGTACACACGGTGCAGGTAATGCGTGTTTGTTGCCCGTGAGCATCGACGCCAGATATCGCATCAGTGCGACGACGCTTATCCTGCGTGTTGCCTCTTCTCGCGATATCGTTGCTGCGCTCGTAAATCTATAAACGGTAAATCCTATAGCGTGATTTCCGAAGGACGAAAATCCCGAGGACGATTTGCGGATTTCCACCTGCGTGGAAACCTGCGCGTGGAAACTCGGCTTTGAAGGTCACGCCATGGATCGTTTTTTTCTCTATCGAAACGCGATCGTGTTCGATATAGAACACGAGCAATTACCCTGGATTTATTACTTGCCGATTGAAAAAAATATATGCGTAACAATTAAATAAATATTCCGAGATATAATAATTATCCTACCGTTAGTTTGATCGATTAATTTATCAATCGTATAGCTTGAACGAGTACGCGATAGTTGCGGTTTTTCGGAACGCATTCTTTCGAACTTTCGAAATCGTCGAGCGCGGGAACGTTGAAATGGCAAAATGATGAATCGAAAAATGACAACTCGACGAGACAGAACAAGAGTCTCGCGCGATGTTCGTAACACAACACCTCTCTTCCAAGTCTAGAAGTTTCTAGGAAAGGGAGGCACCAAGCCACCCCCAAGGAGAGGAGGAACCCTCTCTCCTGCCCATCACCTGGCAATTATCGCATAAACCGTTTAAGCCGATTCCTACACGCCTACCGGCTTGATATTATTGCGTTAGCTGTTAGCCCGATTAGCGGTATTAGTATAGGTAGTCGTCTAATGCCCGTTCATCCCCTCTCACCTGTTGAACCACCGTTCTTGCCTGCCCTTCACGCACCTGCACGCACCCACGCACGCACGAAACTGTTGGTCGTACACGGATGGAATCGAGCGTGCGTGCACGTCTCACCGCCCCGAGCGGAACCAATGGTGAGGATCGGTGCACGCACGATGCGTGCACGCACACGCGCCCGAGCTCAGGTGTCGGCGCGGATTCAAGGGCGTAAACGGCGCGGTGCAGGGATAATAATGGGCAGGTAATAGATAGCATGATGACAGGCGACAACGGGATGGATGTCGGAGGGTGAGAGGACCGAGAATCCGCGAGAGGAATGGAGAAACGATCGAGTTTGACGCGGTCGAGGGAAATGTAATTTCGCGATCCATCCCCCAATTGCAAGGTAAACAAGACGGGATCGTTTTCTTCCCTTTTCCTCGTGTTATGTAATTTTGTATTTTTTTTCTTCTTCTTCTTCTTCTTCTTCTTCTTCTTCTTTTTCTTTTGTTTTTTTCCTTTAATGAACGCAGTTGATTCGACTAGCGTAGATTTTCGTTCGAATATATCGAATGGAGTGTAGTGTATATTTCGTGTAATTTCGAACGTTGGATAGATGGGATTGAAACTGAACTCAACTGTTCAGTGGGAATCGATGGATAATTATATCCTTTGTGACTTGATAGGGGATGACAGATAACGAGAGTGTAACGAAGCTCGTTTGTTGTTACTAGATTAGAAACAGAAATTCCAATTTGACCCCCGTGGTGGGGTCGGAACTGTGACGTAACTGCGATTTGAAACCGCACGATAATTCTAATTCGGTTTGACGTCCATTGAAACGTAGCTGCGATAGATTATTATTCCGCACGGTCATCCGATTATTCGTCCATCATTGACAAATACGCGATCATGCAATTTTGAACATTCGAATTCGCGCGAATCGATACATAATCGATACAGATAGTCTCCTCGTCCTCGGAATTTATCTCACGCCTTATTCCCTTACCTTCGGTTTCCACGGGAATCTGCGGATTCTCTTGAAGGGAATTCTCGTTGTTGTTCGTTTCCGGCGACAACGCTTGCTGATGCACCACCAACGACGACGCCGATTGTTCGGTTTGACAACGCGAAAAGCGGACGCCTCCGCGACGCCTCTGCGCGAAAAGTCGAGAGGACCCACCCCTACGGGGGAGTGTTGCTGCTGCACTTCCATCATCGTGCTCGGAACAAAGTTGGATCACTATTCCTTTTCTTATTACAACAATCCTCCCCTCACTGTACACGACATCCGCCCCTCGTTCAAGGAGCGCGTTGCACCACCACCGGTGTCAACCAACCGTGCACCCTCCGATTACTTTTTACCATGTAAAGTAAAGTCGAACCAACAACCAACAACCCCGCTCAAATAAATCTCCTCTCAAATAAATCCCCCGTCACCGCCACTTTTCCTCGACTCCTCAACTCCGATCCTCTTCGAAAACCGTCATCCAAGCTTCCATCGCCAGCCTCGAACAACAACCACCCTCCGACGACCAACCCTTCGGAAAATTCATTCGATTCGCGCGCCCGAATCTCTTCTCCTCCTCGATCTGTTCGGTGTCCAAGTCGAATGGTGAAAGAAAAGGCGAAGAAAACGGCTGCTCGGGTTGACGCGGATATCACGCGAGTTTGAACTACTACGTGTTTCCGGCTGTTCGAGTTTCACACTGATTTCCGTGCGGCCCATCGGGCGGACAGGTCAGGAACGGCGAGCACCAGCAGCCGGGGATGTGAGAGACGTTATAGCGGGTGCCTCGACGCCGACTGCTGTTAACGGGTCTGATAGTGGAGGAACTCCCATGCGATGACGGACGAAAGTCGCGAGTCAGACTGAGAGAAAGAGAGGAGGGGAGAGCGCACATCATCTAGCGTTGGGGAGAGGGAGAGAGAAAGAGAGAGGCAGCAACACCCACACAGATGTTGGATGCACGCCGGGATTTTCGATGGAGACTCCGCCTCCGAGGCACGCCTTCAACGTCCCTACTACTCCACCCCCACGAAACCGCTCACCATGGCCCTGATACCAACACAGAGAGCCACGCTTTGGATACAGCACGAGGCGTACACGCATAAGCGAGCCGACGATTCCCAAGAGCCGGTGCCGCACGCCACGCTACCAACACACACACCTTATTTTCCGGGAGAGTATGTGTATGTGTGTGTGTGTGTGTATACGTACGTTCATTCGTTTCCCTGGGACGAGTTCGCGTGTGGGTGATGATGTCGCGTGTTCCACGTATGTGAATACGAAGGTGGCGCGTGCGCGCGTGTGTGCGTGCGTGGGGAGAGAGAGAGAGAGAGAGAGAGAGGAATGGACACGAGACAAGGTGTGCAGCAACGGTCTCTCACCTCTCCGGTTGCAGCATTATGTGGAACCACTCGGCCACCCTGATTCCACTCTTGACTCCACACTGATTGATATTTGTGCGCGGTGTTCCTGCACAACCGGAAGTAAATGCATCGTGTAGACGGTCCGTTTCCTCGGTGCCTGCATGCCGCGGCGCTGTATTTGACTGAATTCTGGCAAGGATCGGGCCAGAAGCGAAACACGACGGATAATTTGTGGATAAGTTTATTCCTCAAGATGCTCGGATCGTCTGATTCGTGAAATCGTATATGTGTGTTTTTCTTTTCTCTTGAATTATAATACACACGCAAGAGGATAAAGTTATGTAGAGGATTGTTCGAAGCAGATTTGTGAAATTCTCTTCCGTTGTTGTATCTTTTTTTTTTTAGATAGTTTTATTATTTAAGATAAACAAGGGCATAAAACTTTAATGCGAGTATAATTTACTTGGATTTTGCGATTGATAAACAATGCACGATAGATTCAGTATTTTATATTACAAGCTTTTAAAAGTATAAAATTTCTTAAACGAGCCTCGTATTATCAGTGCTTAAGTGCATCGATACGACGAGCAAGAACAATGCGTACGAAACTACGTTGTTACGATTGCATCACATCGCATTAATTTTTCGGCAGATTCGATAAGGAAAAAAAAAANAAAAAAAAAAAAAAAAAATAAACAAGAGAAAACAAAACACATTAAGAACAAGATTATCGATGATTCCGAGGATTTCGTGCGATTTTGATTTTCTCGGGAAAATAATAATTTTGACCGATCTGTCTGATAAATCCAAACAAGTTGCAAAATCATTTTTTATCAAAATTTCATTCGATTCGTACGATGACATTCACCCGTTCCAAGACCATTGTAGCTTGAAACGATTACGTTCATCTTTTTATCGCGCTCTGTTCACAGAACAGATTATCCGCAGAAGAATTTTTCTTCGCGTTGGCGAAAATTTTTCAATTCTTTCCACGACAAATATTAATTTCCCGACGAAATTAAAAAATCCAATCCTTCCAAATAATCGAAGAAAGAAAAAAAAAAAAGAAAGAAGAAAAGATTCCTTCTTTTATGGGAAATTATTTAAAAATTTTGTTTTCGAGAAATCACTGTGGGATCAAGGTCGCCACAAGAAGACACGACTCCGATTGCTCGACGCTCTTTCGAATTGTCGAGGAAACATACATGGTAAAAAGCCTCGTGTTCCCAAGCAAGATACCAGACACGTAGACGAAAGAAGTGTCGTCAGGGGCGTAGCTATGATGCCGGGTGAACGACATGATGTTCACCGTCAAGAGAGAACGACAAATCGCATCAATCATACTCGCTCACTCGCATCTCGCCGAACGGTGGTCCCGTTCTATCTTCGCCGAGAAAATTGCTTACTCTCTTACCGCGAAAATAGGAAAACTCGGGACGAGAACGAGCGATGTCCTCTCGGGCAACACGCTTCGAGGAATCGGGCGGAATGGTATGGGGGCGAGGGGACAGAAAATGGGGTAAAAATGTTCCCCCGGAACGAAATTGCCACGGTTGGATGTCGCGATGGATAAAGTGGGAATCGTTTCTTAAAGAACAGAGGCGAATCGTCAGGAATTGTCTTGAAAAATTTAAAAGTGAAGGGAAGAGAAGAGATATCGGATGTGAGGAAATTTCGTGAGGGATTTCGAAAAAAGAAGAAATGTATCCTTGTTGTGGAGAAAACAATTATAAAAAAAAGGATTTTGAGAATATTTATAAGAAAGATTATAAAGAAGATTTGTGAAATTTATCAAAAATTAATACGATTTTGAATTTTCGAATCTCGTCTCGTTCCTTATTTCGTTTCGAATTAAAAAAAAAAAAATAAATAAATAAAACGATTAACAGTTATCGAAGGGGAACAACGTGTGATGAAATTTTGAAGAACGATTTGAGGATATTAAATTTGTATTACTCGAAAATGCACGGATATCAGGGAATATTAAACATCGATCGGTTTCGAGATACTTTATCGATTTTCTTATTCATCGCTTCACACACAGCTATCAGCCCGAACCTGCCTATACGTTTGTTTGTACAAGTATATACCGGACGTGATTTACAGGCTGTAAGATAACTTAATCCGTCAACACACAAATGGACATCATTCGAACGGTTCAACGGTGAGACGAGGTTTCACTACTTACATGCCACACCACTGTCACGTCTCTTCTCGTCGAATCGCGTCAAGTATTGTGTATTTCTCTCTTTAGACAAGCGCAGCCTTGAATCCATCATATTGATTTGCAATAGAGTGGAATATACACATCGAATATACAAAAAAATCAATTGAAATGAAAGAAAACTCGCGTTCAAGTTTCTTCTTCGAGTCTGTGATGTGTCACACGCTCCGTTACATTTTTATATATCGAATAATTTCAATAATTACATCCAGCATGCGATTCCAGCATAATGAAACGTTAAAATTTCATCTCAGTGTTGACCAATCATTCTTTTAAAAATTTTCTAAAAATTCTCGCGCGATTTCAAAAATTCCAAGGTCAACGCAGATGATTTCCATCGAGGAATCGAATAAACTCTTTCTTTTTTTTTTTTCTAAAAAGCGCGAGTCGAGAATATTGTGCGGTGCGACAAATCGAGTATCTACCTTGACAAAGTGGTTTTCAACGCGCCGGATACAGGAGACGAGTGGCTGGCGCCACGAATTTAACACTTGATTGTCCCCGTCGAACAATTGTTTCGCCGGTATTATAGCAAGCATCGTGTCTCCTCGAGTCAGACACTGGAAGGAGAGAGGGAGAGAGAGAGAGAGAGAGAGAAAGAGAGGATGATGTACCAGTAGGAATGACTCACTCCTCAATCGAGGAGAAAACATATTAGCGATTGTCTTTACCAATTGGGGGATGTGGGTGATGGTTATCGCCACGGCGGGGGCAGAAAAGTATACGTGAAACACGCGGTGAACGATATAATTCGTGGATATTATATACTCGTTCGTAAAAGAAGGCGTCCATCCACACGCCGGCATGTGGGCAGACGGTGCACACAGAGGAGGAGCACGGCTATATGGAAACACGCAGATGGACCCCTGCGGGTAGGCGAACGATCGTTTTACGGTAAGCCTGTTCGCTATCTGGAAACAGATACGATGTAATTGGGAAGAATTGGTCTAATTGAAACCGATTAATCCGGATCTTGACGAATCTTGAGCGCGTGGATCGAACGGGCCGGTGATTTCGTTCGATCTCGATATTTCTTTCTTTTTTTTATTTCTCGATCGAATCGATTTTCTCTTCACAAAATTCGATTAATCGCTAGAAGACTTCGATCGAATCGAATGAAACGATGTGTTCAAATGGTTAGATCTTTCCATCTTTGGGAAAAATTTGCGGAGATTAAAATTTCGAAAGATTGTCCAACAGACGAATACATTCGATTTCGAGATCGTTAATTAAAATAAGCGGTCGAATCGGGAGCGCGTAACGAGGGAAATAGTGTGTCAACAACGTTACGTCGAGTGTATCAACGCGCTCGATGCTTCCTCGAATCGCGTCGAATCCTCTTATCTAATCTTCGAGCACGGTGAGACGGTGGAACCGGCGCGATTTAAATCCACCAAGATGGATCGATGGATCCTCGACGTCGAGCATTCTCGAGCAGACGAGCCGTGTACGGGGATCAATTAAAACGACGGAGTCATTGATCACGGCAAGGCCGTTCTTCTCTTCCTCCCAGACGAAAACAGTTACTGGTCGAGCTTTTTTCCGATCATTGCTTTATGCAACTCGTGGACAAACAAAGCTTGTGCTGAGTCATTTTAACGAAACGACGCGAAAAAATCATTATATTATCTCGCCTCGCTGGTTAAACGCATAAACAAACGAGTTATTCCACCACTAATCGTGATAAATATCTAATCGTAAGTATTCGACCCGTAAACGAACGTATCTCGAACGATTTCGCGCGCATTTATTTCATTCATTTCTTCCGTTCATTTTTTCGCCTCGAAAGTTAGACTAGAACTCGTGCGCGCGATTATATATACATTTTATTCCGTCGTTATGATTAGGAAGCGTCGAGGCACGAAGTCGCGGGTCGATTAGATTTTCATTCGAAGAGGGCTTTTCGCCTTGACTCACGATGGGAGCACGGCATATGGTACACGGTATACGGAACGGTGCACTGTTTCCATCGCGAACGAGGACGAGGAAACGATCATCGACGACACTGGAAAAAGGGAGAAGGGAGCAACGTTTAACGCGGGACAAACGAGCGTGACCAGGGTCGGGGCAGGCCGCGTATGGGGACTTTCATGGTAAATTTCGACGGCCCATGTAATCCCCTGTAATATACAGACATATGCACCGGCGAGTACACCCCTCGTCGATCCCCGGCGGACTGATATTTAGGGCCGATATTCATTAGCAGTTTCACGCCAGGATACGGAGCTAGCAAGAGGGAAGGAGAGAGGTTGCGAGTTGAAGAGGGACGGTTCGGATTCTGACGGTTCTCGAT